CCCAAACCCACCAAGAATGGCCCAAACCCACCAAGAATGACCCAAACCCACCAAGAATGATCCAAACCCACCAAGAACCACCTCAAACCTACCAAGGATGACCCAAAACCACCCCAAACCCACCAAAAATGACCCAAACCCACCAAAGATGACCCCAAACCCACCAAGAAGCACCTAAAACCCACCAAGAATGACCCAAACCCACCAAGAATGACCCAAACCCACCAAGAACGACCTCAAACCCACCAAGAATGACCCAAACCCACCAAGAATGACCCAAACCCACCAAGAACCACCTCAAACCCACCAAGAATGACCCAAATCCAACAAGGATGACCCAAAACCACCCCAAACCCACCAAGAGCCACCCCAAACCCACCAAGAATGACCCAAACCCACCAAGAACCACCCCAAACCCACCAAGGATGACCCCAAACCCACCAAGAACCAAGGATATCCATGGAGGTGACACCCCCCGCTTGTCCCCACCCCAGACAAGACCATCATCATGTGGAAGCTGACGCGCGATGAGACCAACTACGGGATCCCGCAGCGGGCGCTGCGCGGCCACTCGCACTTCGTCAGCGACGTGGTCATCTCCTCGGACGGGCAGTTTGCGCTCTCAGGCTCCTGGGACGGGACCCTGCGCCTCTGGGACCTCACCACGTCCGTTTTGGGGTTCCACCTAAAATTTGGGGGTCTTTAGAGAAGGTTTTGGGGTCCCACCAGGGTCAGAATTTGGGTAAATCCCGAATTTTTGGGGTGGGATTGAGAAGGTTTGAGGTGTCCACCATCCTTTCTTCTCTGGGATCTCACTACGTGGGTTTTGGGGTCCCACCAGGGTCAGAATTTGGGTAAATCCTGAATTTTTGGGGTGGGATTGAGAAGGTTTGAGGTGTCCACCATCCTTTCTTCTCTGGGATCTCACCACGTGGGTTTTGGGGTCCCACCAGGGTCAGGTTGTCCCAAAAGTTGGGGAAATTTGGGATTTTTGGGGTAGGATTGAGGTGGTTTGAGGTGTCCACCATCCTTTCTCCTCTGGGATCTCACCACGTCGGTTTTGGGGTCCCACCAGGGGTTTTGGGTCTCACCAGCGTCAGATCATCCCAAAATTTGGGTAAATCCCAAATTTTTGGGTCGGAATTTGGGATTTTCGAGCTGCTCGCCCCTCTCCCGATGATTAGACCTGACGTCTCCATCCGATCCCACGGGATCTGACGACACGTCCTGCAATGATGATGGGAGAACATTTTGGGGGAGCAGCCCAATTTTGGGCAAAATTTTGGGGTGTCCCAGAGAAGAAGACCATCATTTATGGAACCGAACTCATCCCACCCCAAAAAACATTTTTTCACCCCAATTCCTGCCTGTTTTTCCCCATTTTTGGTGGGTTTTTTTGGTTCTCCATGTGGTTTTTGGGTTCTCAACCTGGTTTTGGGGTTCTCCACCTGGTTTTTGAGTTTTCCACCTGGTTTTAGGGTTCTCCACCTGGTTTTGGGGTTCCTCCATGGTTTTTTGGGTTCTCCACCTGGTTTTGGGGTTCCTCCATGGTTTTTTGGGTTCTCCACCTGGTTTTTGGGGTTCTCCACCTGGTTTTTGAGTTTTCCATTTGGTTTCTTGGGTTCTCCACCTGTTTTTTTGGGTTCTCCACCTGGTTTTTGGGGTTCTCCATCTGTTTTATGGGTTCTCCACCTGGCTTTTGGGTTTTCCACCTGGTTTTCGGGTTCTCCACCTGGTTTTTGGGTTCTCCACCTGGTTTTCGGGTTCTCCACCTGGTTTTTGGGTTCTCCCCATGGTTTTTTGGGGTTCTCCCCGTGGTTTTTGAGTTCTCCACCTGGTTTTTGGTTTCCCCCATGTTTTTTTGGGTTCTCCACCTGGTTTTTGGGGTTCCACCATGGTTTTCAGGCTGCTGACCTCGATCCTCGCAGGGGGACGACCACGAGGCGCTTCGTGGGTCACACCAAGGACGTTCTGAGCGTGGCCTTCTCCTCGGACAACCGGCAGATCGTGTCCGGCTCGCGGGACAAGACCATCAAGCTCTGGAACACCTTGGGGGTCTGCAAGTACACGGTGCAGGTGAGACCTGG